ATCGATTTATATAAGTAAAACTATTGACTATTTTGTCTATAAATCTACCTGTTAGCTTTAACACCGCGAACTTCAGCAAGAGTAAAACTTTCGGTGTTTTTAATGTAAGATGCCACCATAAACATATCCACAAGTGATAAAATGTCAAATTGTCCTTTGCAAAATCTGTGTCAGTCATTTTGAAAAAAAATCTTTTTCTCCTAATATACTATATAAACGTTTAAACAACAATATCAAGACTGAGGTTGCATATTTACATGCTCCACATTGAAGCCACCGCGGCCGACGAGCCGCTTGACGTCACAACTGGTCCCAGCCGATGACGGCGCGTTTTAAGAATGATTTGAATTATACAGTTTTCAATTGCTTATATTAATTACATAGAAATAAAAAAATAGTTTTTTGGTCAACTGTGGTGTTTTGAATAGTATTAAGTTACGTTTGCGAGTAATATTCTTTAAATTTAATTTTTGTACAAGTTTCCTGTTATCTGGCTTCTGCTACGGCCGCCTGAGTTCGCTCGAAAGCAACGTCTGCTTCAGGCGTCTACTGGAATTTTTTCCATTTCCATGTAGCAGATTGGTAAAAGGCGCGGTGAGAGTCGGGAGGTCCGGAATGTGCTGCCGCAACCAGTTGCAGGTTCCTAAAAATGACTGCAGAGTCCGTTTACTTTTCGTTCCGGACGAGGAAAATTTCGAATCTGTCAAAGGTGTTTGTTCTGTGGCTGAATTAGGTCGCCTTTCAGATGGAACCGGAGATAGTTTAAGTCCGATCGACACACTTGACACTTTTCCGCACTAATCCGAAGGTGGTGAATCCGGAGTCTCTGAAGACTAGGCGGAGGCGCATCAGATGTTTTTTTTTTCGGTAAAGTTTGGGAAATGCTCTTTTATGCACTCCCAGAGCTGGTGGTCTGTCGCTCTGGTTTGTGTGGGCCTCCAGCTAAGCTGTTCACCCACTAAAACCCTTTCCTCACCGCCGAGGTGGTGTCTGGCCTTGCACCGCGGTCATTTCTGTCCTATTGTGCCCTCGTAATTTTACTCCCTCATTATCCCTGTATATTCAATGAATTCCAGAAGAAACTGGAGGGGAGTTCGCATGATCTGGTCTGGTGGAATTTCATCCCCTCCCAGGAGTCTTTGTCGTGTTGCATATGACGTGCAGTGACACATAACATGCAGAACAGTTTCGTCCTCTAATTCGCAACCCCTGCAGGTCGGTTGATCACTCATTCCCATCCTGAAGAGGTGTTTTTTGCAGGAGGCGTGTTCTGTTAAAAAGGCCACTATCCTCCTTATTTTTTTCCTGCTGAGATCTAGCAGTTCGTTTTTACGTACTGGTTGTGGAGGTCCCACCAACTGCTTTGCGGTATGGAGTCGCGGTGTCTCCTCCCAGTACTTTCTGTGTTGTTCCAAGATCCACTGCCCAACTGCAACCCTGACTTGGGCATGAGATATACCGCAAGCAGTTTCTTGGTTGGTCAGTGGTTTCTCGGTCCCTGCCTTAGCAAGTTCCGCAGCAATCTCGTTTTCTTTGTTCCTGTTCGTACCAGTTGCCCAAGTAAGTTTTACTCTGTTTGAGCTCCCGGCCAGGGTTGTAAGTTCTTTTACACAATCTAGCACACATTGTGACCTGATTGTGTACAATTCTAATGTCTTTATTGTGGCTTTGTTCGGGGACTGTCGATATGTGCTGATTTTGGTTCTAGAGGACCATATGACGGCGGAATATGTGATTATGGGTTTCACAATGGTGACGTAATAAAAGCCCTGATCGCCTTGTTTGTTTTCTGTTCCAGATGTTCTTTAAACAACAGCTTCTTATCCAGGGTTACCCCAAGATATTTGACAGTGTCAGACATGTGTATATTATTCCCATATATAGACATTTGTCTTAGGGCTTTAAGATCTCTCTTCCTTGTGAAAGCGATTATAGACGTCTTAGATGGGCTAATTTTCAGCTCTTCCGTGTTACACCATTGTTCGGTGATGTTTAGCGCCTGCTGCATCAATGATACACTGTCTCTAAACTTTCCCTGTACAACAATGGAGATATCATCCGCATATCCCAGTGCGTAGAAACCTTTCCCCTCAAGAGACAACAGGAGCCGGTCCACCACCAGGCTCCACAGCAAAGGCGACAAAATTCCTCCCTGCGGACACCCGCCGGCTACCTGTGCTTCCATGCTGACTTAATTGAGTGCGCCAGTAATTCTGCAACTCAGCATGTTTTAGATCCATTTGCATATTATAGGCTCCACTCCAAGATTGACTGAAAAGAGGTATTGTCAAAGGCTCCCTCTATGTCCAGAAAAGCCGCCAGAGCAATTTATTTACGCTCTAATGAGGTTTGTGCCCTCTGCATTTCTTGTGTTTAAGTGAGTAAGAAGGATGTTAGGCTGATCGGGCGAAAGGATTTGGCCTGGGCATACGTCGCCCGCCCTGGTTTTGGAATGAATACTACTTTCGCCATTCTCCATTCCATTGGTATAAATGCCTGTGCCAACCAGTAAATCGGTTCCTTGTTGTAGCAGAACTGGCATTAGGTCATCTGTTCCCGGTGATTTAAATGGTCTGAAGGAACTCATGGCCCACTTAACTTTGTATTGGTTTACGATGCTTGAGGCAAGAGTCCAGTGCTCTTTCAGTGCACGCTGTCGCGTCCTGCAGATCACCGATATCCTGTTCTCTGCCTGTTCCCAGTATTGATCCAGGAAAGTGAGTCTTAAGCATAAGCTCCAGAGGCTTGTCTTGTGTTGTATATCCTCCCTGTGGTTTTATCAGGGAGCCCACTTTTTGCTGTGGTTCTTTTGAGAGTGCTTTATAGAGTCTGGCGTAGCTCGGCATATCTTC